ACGCCATCCTCTCTGTTTTTTCTGGATTTTCTGTTCCCTCCTTTCCTCGCTCTGGGAAGCCACCAAATTTGATAGATTGGGAAAGAAACCAGGAGGAATCACTGCTCTGATCAGAATCAGAGGGCAGAGTCAGAAAACACCCGAGAGTGAAGAATGAGAGAGAACAGGTTTGCTACCTTTAAAAGACAGCCTAAAATTAGTTTTAAAGTTCAGTAAATTCCCCGGAGTCTGCCATCAGCTTTCCTAAAGAAAACCGGTTGTGATGTATGCGTGGCCACAAGGGGTCTCCCTCCACCCTTCCTTGTGTGGGTGTTCCGGGGTCAGGCCCAAATCTCCATGGCTTGTCAAAGCGCTGCACCCTGGTCAGACCAGGCCAGAAACAAATCTGGCCCATTTGTTTGTGGGAAAATTCAAAATGTCCACGAACTTTTAAAAGTCACCCCCTCACTCAAAGCCCAAGTGGCCCTTTACCGGTCAGTCAGGTTAGTTTAAACAATGGAGGAATCACAGGGTAAAATGTGTACTACGGAATGTCAGGATTTACTGCTGACGGATGCTCTCTGTCCCCTCCCTGGTCGCTCAACCTAGTGATCTGAAAGGCACCTTATCATGGGAGAAGAATAAATAGCTACCATGTACTAAGAGCCCTGGTGGGGAGGAGCCCTCGTGGCTTAGTGAGTTACGTATTGGGTTGCTAGCTGCAAGGTTAGCAGTTCAATCCCACCAGCTGCCCTGGGGAAGACAAATGATGCTTCCTGCGCTCTGTAGAGCTACAGCTCTGGAAACCCACAGGGGCAGTTCCACTGTGAGTCAGAACGGACTCAATGGCAGTGAGATCATGTATTAGATGTTTATTGTGTCGTGAGTGTTCTATTAGCCTCACTCCACTGCCATCGAGTCGATGCTGACTCACAGCGAGCCTATAGGACAGGGTAGAACCGCCCCTGTGGGTTTCCGAGGCCAAATCTTCCCAGGAGCAGAAAGCCAGGTCTTCCTTCCAGAGTTGCAAGTGGTTTTGAACAGCCGACCCTGCAGGTTAGCAGCCCAATTCCATTTAGTGAAACGTAGGTGCTTGGTAAAAGGTGAGGGTCAGATCCAGTCTATGTGGGACGGGAAGGGAAATGCTGAGCAGAGGGTCGGACCAGAATGAACCGGCTCGCAGCCCTGCAGAGGTGGGTCCTCTTTTGCCTCCGAGTCTACAGAGGAAGAAGCTGCACCCTGAGAGAAAGTCACCAGGTTGACACGGCTTGTGCAGAAGTGGGACTTGGACACCCATCTGACTCTGGACTAAGTGTTCCCTGCGGCCTGTCCTAAGTGGATTGATGGATGGCCCGGGTGAAGAAGCAGATTCTTTATTGGAAGACTTGCCGTGGTTCTTCAGCAGGGATGAGAATGAGACTCACCTGGGGAGGCTTTGAAACCCGCCCATGCCCACATCATCTTCTTGGACACTTTGATACAGTGAGGGTGTTGAAAGGCCTGGTTGAAAGGCCCATGGGTGATTCTAAGGTCTGCTCACCGGCCACCATCAGAAGATTCTGTGGATGGAAAGTCCGGGCAGGCATGAGAACTTGCTGAGACCCAACAGCCACAGAGTCTTTCAACAAGGTGAGGGCCACTTGAGCAGCATTCAACATCAAAGGCAACCCCAGATCCTCTGCTTCCAGTTGGAGAGGCAAGCCCCTCTCCCGTTGAGTGCAGAGCTGAAAGGACACTTGTGATTGGTTGAAGACCTACAGGAGTTGCTAGGCGCTGTCCAGTCGGCTCCGGAGCATTAGCAGCCTTATGTAAAACCGACGGTTTGCCCAGTCCTGTGCTGTCTCCACCATTGCTGCTCCGCTTGAGTCCAGTGGTGTGGTTATTGTGTCCGATCGTTTCATGGAGGCCTCCCTTGTTTTCGAGGAGCCTCGGTGGCACAGTGGTTTAAGCACTGGACTGCTAGCTACCAGGTCAGCAGTTCAAAACCACCAGCCGATCCGAGGGCATAAGAGGTGGCTTTCTTCTCCCATAAAGAGTTACAGTCTCAGAAACCCATGGGAGCAGTTCTACTCTGTCCTATGGGGTTGCTATGAGTCAGCATCGACCCTATGGCAGTGAGTTCGAGTCCCGCCGCCAGCCATGATGCCCTCTTGGTTGGCATTTGCTAATGATGTGTCCCCTCGCACATCTAAGGACCTCACATGTATTTGCTCTTCCTCCTGGCAGCCCACCAACACCAGCCTTCGAAGACAGCAGCTCTCCTCTCTTCCTCTTCCGTCATCTATTAGCTGTGCATGAGAATGAGGCGAGGGCAACGGTCATGGCTTGGATCAGGTGTGCCTTAGGCATCAACATCATCTTTGCTTTTTAAGACTCTTAGGAGGTCCCCGAGAGCAGATTTGCCCAATGCCATTTGTCCTTTGGTGTTTTGACTGCTCCTACCATGGACATTGACAGCGGATCCAAGCAGGATGACATGGCTGGCAGAAGAGTGGATGCAAAGCAGACCTCTGGAGGCAGCCCAAAGGTGTCCAGAGAAGAAGGAAGGTGCCCAGACGACCTGCCCTGCCCGTTCAATGTGGCCCTCACCTGCTGTGGCCTTGGCTGCCTGTCTGCCTGGCAACAGTCCTGAGTGTAAGCTTGAGAGGCTTGGTGTTCCTCGCTGGTGGTGAAAGGTAGACCCAGCAGGACTCTTTAAGGCAGGGGGTCTGTGAATGGTGAAGCCAAATCCTCAGAACTAGAATGGGGTTCAGCTGGGATGATGGGAGAGGACAGTCATTTTTGACCCCTTCTGGAGGCAAGAAGAACCCCGGAGGTGACTTACAGCAGCCTAGCGTCATGAAGTTTGGGGTTTGTCCACTGAGGCCAAAAAGGTGGAGTCAGAGAACAATCTGGGGTTCTCAGGTGCCTCCTGTGTTTTTGCTTTCTCGCCCTCTCTTCCCACGCCCCTACCTCCTTCCCTCGCACATGTATGTGTCTGTCCGTCAGTCTGTCTCCCTCAGCTTCCCTTTCTCAGCTTGATTTTCCTCCTGCCGGGCATCGGGTCGCTGTGGGTGGGAACAGCTCGATGGCACCTAACATCGAGTTAGGCTCCGTTGGGGGTTCGGGCCAGTCATAGTCCTGCCACCACTGCCTGTCCTGGAGCTCTAGCGGTCCCTTTTGCTGAAGCTGGTGGGAGCCTGGGTGCTGGGAATCCACCTGCAGCCTTGACCCTGAAGTTACTCTCATGGACACCTGAGCTCAGATGGGAAAAATCAAGATCCCCGAGCAGTTCTGAGGTGACTTCCTTCCAAATGACAGCCCCATCCCCACCACCCCTGCCAGAGGAGCTAATCACCCTGCAATGGAGGAGAAAGGGAGGTGATGTCTGCACTGGGCTTTTCCCAGGGGTCTTGGGGAGGAGCGGGGGCTGGGGGGCTGTGCTTGAATGCTGGCCTCAGAGTTGCCCCCGCCCCTGTCATGGTACCCAGCCCCTCCCCTCTTCCCACATAAGTCCCCGTGCAGCCAGCCCGTTCCTTTTTCTCTCCAGGGCACCAGATCCCTCCACAGGGCTGGCAGCGAGCTGCGGCCCCAGGCCCTGTTGTGACATGTGAGCGGTGGGCTGGGAGCTGCCAGCTTCCACGCTCCTGGGGGGTTTGGAGTGTTCCGGGACAGGCTGTTCTGCTAGTCGTCCTTGCCTCGCCCCTCCCTCTCCTCGGAAGCCGGGGACTTGGGGGGTGGGAGGGACGCCAGCCCCTGGGAAGCACAGACACAGCACGGCCAGGCTGCCCACATTGCATTCTCGGCTTCCCGCAGGCCACTCCCTGGGCCCAAAGCCCTAACCCTGTTGGAAACACCCCCTCCTGCTTGGAAGGAGGCTGGCCTGGCCAGGGGGTTTATTTTGGGAGCAGCTTCTGAATCCAATGGCCTTGTTAGGGCAACACTGACCTTTCCAACCGAGGGGGAGGGCAGGAGGAGAGAAGAGGCGGGGCAGCGACAGAGAGCGGCAGCCCCACACGCCCACTGGCTGGGGGAGAAGGGGGCCAGCGGCTGGCCAGCCCGGGCCGGGAAGCCAGCCTCGGGAGGAGGCTGTCGCTGAGGGCATTCCTCCTTTTCATATCAGACGGGGGACCCCTGCACCGCACCCCGTGTACAGGCTTCTTAAAGGGATCACCCGCTTTTCCTTTGAATCCATGGAAGCCAGACGTGGGACGCTTGGTGGCCTTCGCCTCCGTCCTTCCTGCTTCCTTCCCAGCTGGCCGCCCGCCTCTGGCTCCCAGGGGCCTCGCAGGCATGGCACTGACCAGCCAGCCCAGTGCTGACTTGGCCCCTGGGCTCTCTCAGCCCAGGGTGGCAGCTCGCTGCTCCCCTGCTGGGGCAGGGTGGTGAATCTGGGGACCCACCCGGAGCACCCCTGCCTGCCCAGTGCCGCTGGCCCTCCGGCCCTCCACACCCACGCTGGAGAACCGGGAGGTGGTTGGGGACTCTGGGGGCTACGATGAGATGAGCGGGGGCCGCTTTGACTTTGATGATGGCGGGGCGTACTGCGGGGGCTGGGAGGCGGGCAAGGCCCACGGACACGGGCTGTGCACTGGCCCCAAGGGCCAGGGCGAGTACTCCGGCTCCTGGAACTTTGGCTTTGAGGTGGCAGGCGTCTACACCTGGCCCAGCGGGAACACCTTCGAGGGTTACTGGAGCCAGGGCAAGCGGCACGGGCTGGGCATAGAGACCAAGGGGCGCTGGCTGTACAAGGGCGAGTGGACGCACGGCTTTAAGGGGCGCTACGGCACTCGGCAGAGCACCAGCAGCGGCGCCAAGTACGAGGGCACCTGGAGCAACGGCCTGCAGGACGGCTATGGCACAGAGACCTACGCCGACGGAGGTGAGCTTCCCGCAGGCCACTCCCTGGGCCAGAGGGAGGCTGGCCGGGCGCGGGGACCGGCGTGGGCAGGCTCGCTGCTCAGCGGCCTCTGTAAGCAAGCGCCTAGCTTCCTTTGGAGAGATGGGCTCAGGGAGGGTTCTGGAGGGCACACTGGGGTGCCCAGCACAGAGGCTGGCCCAGAACACATGCTCAGCTCGCTGTAAGGGCCCCTGCCTGTTGGCCAGCAGCTGAACAGCCGAGGAATGCTCTTGGGCGTGTGCACCAGCTGAGTTGGGGGCGAAGTCCCAACATTGCCTTATGTTATTTTGCAGCCCTAACACAGTTCCTCCCTCCCTCCCTTCTTCCCTCCCTCCCTCCCTCCCTCCTGTCCATCCATCCATCCACCCATCCATCTCCTCCTCTACCCTTCCATTCCGTGCATGCTTAGGGAACATGGCCTATTTGCCAAAGGGCAGGATCCCTGCTGATGCAGAGGTTAGAGTGGTCAACCGCTAACTAATAAGGTGGGTGGTTCGAACCCACCAGCCGCTCCTTGGGGGAAAGATGAGACATTTGCTTCTGACAGCCTTGTAGACCTATGGGGCAGGTCTGCTTCAGCCAGTAGGGCTGCCGTCGATTAGAATGCACTGGCTATGGGGTTGGTTCCCTGGAGTTTGGTGTGAAGGGTTAGCTATAAAAAGGAGAGAGACCTGTCCCCTGGCTTCATAGGTGCTGGCCACAGACTGACGGTACGTGCCCTGTGAGGACAGGGTCTAAGGAAGGAGCAGGTGGACAGCAATGGTCAAGGCGCGTTTTGAGGTGGTGTGGTTGTCGCTGGAGCTTGGTGGGAGCCGGGGACCCTGCAGGCTGAGAGAGGAACATGTACCGTGACACAGAAGCTGGTACACACTTGGGGGTGGGGGTGGACTTTGCACTGGCAGCTCTGTGGCAGAGCAGATACCATCCTATTTTTTAAAAATCATTTTATTTTTTAAAATCATCATTGGACACATACAGCATTGTGTCAAGCACATTTGTATTATGTTGCCATCATTTTCAAAACATTGTCTTTCTACTTGAGCCCTTGGTATCAGCGCCTCATTTTCCCCCTCCCTCTCTCCCTCATGAACCCTTGATAATTTATAAATTATGATTATTTTTTCATATCTTACACTGACTGATGTTTCCCTTCACCCACTTTTCTGTTGTCTGTCCCCCTGGGAGGGTGTCATATGTAGATCATTGTGATCAGTTCCCCTTTTCTCCCCCCACCTTCCCCTTGCCCTCCTGGTATCGCTACTCTCATTATTGGCCCTGAGGGGTTTATTTGTCCTGGATTCCCTGTGTTGAAAGTGTTATCTGTACCCGTGTACATGTTCTGGTCTAGCCGGATTTGTAAGGTAGAATCAGGGTCATGATAGTGGAGGGAGGGGGAAGGGAAACATTAAAAAACTAGAAGAAAGTTATATGTTTCATCTGTGCTATACTGCACCCTGACTGGCTTATCTCTGCCTGGTGACCCTTCTGTAAGGGATTGGATACCATCCTCTTGTACACAGGCTGTGACCCTGGACATGACGCTGATGCAGCTCCCATTCCCTCATCCATAGACTGGGGGGCTGAAATCAGCACCTGCCCACCTGCAAATGTGCCAGAAGTGCACATTTCAGGCTTCACAGCAGACCTACTGAGTCAGGTCAGCAGGCCCGGGAATGCTATCAAGCTGCGCAGGTGATTCTGAGGCACGTTGGCGTTTACGAAGCACTGCTCCACATCAAGGGCTCGCAGATTGTGAGTCCCCTGCCAAATCCAGCAGACCCCTCTTTTTGTACAACCTGCCAGCTAAGAGGGGGTTTACATTTTTCAGTGATTGGGGTTGGGGTTGGGGGAAGAAATCCAAAGAACCATATATGTTGCATGCGGAAACAGTATGCACAGAAAACACAAAACCCAAGCTCACTGCCATCGAGTTGATTTTTACTCACTGAGACTCTATAGTACAGGGCAGAAGTGCCCTGTGGATTTCCAAGACTGTAAATCCTAACAGGAGCAGAAAGCCTCATCTTTCTCCTCCAGAGTGGCTAGTGTGTTTGAACCGCTGACCTAGCAGTTAGTAGCCCAACTCAGTACCCACTGCTAGTGTCTATATGATTGTGTCTCTTGGTACACAATGATTTATTTCCTAGGAAAAAGCAGTTTTTCCGGCTGCTTTACATGGTCATTACATGGTCCCTTGTGGCTCAGGATAAGTGCTACCAAGTCTTCCTAATGGGCCACATTGGAAAGAGAGGAGGCGACAGATAGGATGGGCGCTCACTTAGAAAAAGATGATCAGAGTTGGGACTAGCCTTCCCTTTATGGCAGATCGGGCTAGCAGGGTGGGATGGTAGGGGTGGGGGGCATAGGGGAGCCCAGGGATGGAGTTTTGCTCAAGCTGAGGCCCGTGGGCAGGCTGAGAGCCGAACAGGACAGGTGGGTATCTGGGTGTCCAGTTGGTGGGTCTCTGGGTGAAGATCCACCTCTCCCATGTGTCTGGACATTAAGGAGCTTGCATCCTTCAGCATCCTGTCTATCTGGGTAGGACAACACAGAGGACCAGTTCTGCCTTTCCCACTCGCGAGAGTTCAGTGATCTCAGGCCCTGTGCCAAGTCTGTCCAAGAAAACCATTGCTTCCAGTAGGTTCCACCCAGAGCAACCCCACAGGACAGGGTAGAACTCGACTCCATGGAAGTCTTGGTGGATGGGGATGGCCCCCTCTATCCCCGGCAGAGCGGCTGGTGTGCTGGAACTACTGGCCTCCCTGTCAGCAGTGGGGCATGTAGCCACGGCGCCACCACAGCCCCAGGAACCACTCCAACTCAGCCGGCAGGCTTCAACTTATTGGATGTGGGCGACAGGCATTGCGCTAGGTCCTGCGGATGCAGCTGAGAGCAAGCCTCAGTTTCCTGGCTGCAGACTAGCTAGAGCTAGTCCTTGAGTCCTTCCTGTGCCTCAGTTACAACCTCACATGGGGCAGGGCAGGCTGAGAGTCCACTCCCTCTCCTCCAATAGGAATCCCAAATGGGTACTAGTGCTGGGGTGCTGGGGGAAGTCTCAAGGCCTGGGGCAAGGTGGGCTTACCTTCCTCTACGCCTCAAAGCGGAAGGCAAAATTGGATACAGGCCACCCCCACGGGCATCTCCTCTCCCAGGAGATCAGACCTGTGCTCGGAATCAGGATGGTACCTCCCAACTGAATCCTGCCTCCCTCACAGAGCAAACGTAGCCTAATCCTCACTAACATAACCCAATCCAGCACATCAGGGACCAAGCTTGCAAGCAGCATACAATGGAGGACCATTACATCAGGTCCCAAAGGAGCAGCACCACAAGGGCTAGCCAAGTGGCCACGATTCACGACAGGCATGCTGGGTAGCAGGGACGGAGTGAGTGAGGTGGACTCATGGACTTGGCCATGTGGCTTTGCAGGGCCGGGCCCTTCTCCTAGGCATGTCAGGGGCCTTTCAGGGCGGGGAGCCAAGCTGCTTCTTCCGACTGAGACGGCCCCACACCCAGGCAGGCTGGATGCCTCACAGGCCTTGGCTCCCTGGCCACACACGAGGTGCCACCCTCCAAATTTAGACTCAGCCGCTGCTTCGGAAAGTCTCTTTAATCATCCTGTCAGCAGTCTTCCACGGGTTTGCTAAGGGCCTGCCCTCTGCCCCTTTTTGGGGTGCTCGGAGGGGGATGTGGACCAGAAGGCTCCTGTGATGGGGAAGGCTGGAAGACAGGCCACCCTGGATTCCTACCCTGGCCCTGCTAACTTACTATTCCAGCGACCTTGCACAAATTATTTAATCTCCTCAAACCTTAGGTTCCTCACCCATAAAATGGACCTATAATTTTCTCTCCTAGGATTTTGCAGGGAATAGCTCAATAATGGTAGTTGCTATCAATAGGATTAGCTATGATGAACAGAGTCAAAGGAGGCCTGGTAGCATAGTGGTTATCCAGTGGGAATCACAAGGCCAGCAGTTCAAAGCCACCAGACACTCCTTGGGAGAAAGACGAGGCTTTCTACTCTGGTAAAGATGGACTCCCACAGGGGAAGTTCTACTTGTCCCCCAGGGTCACTGTAAGTTGGAATTGACTAAGCGGCAGTGAGTTTTTTATTTTTTGTACTCACGGCATTTATCAATTATTACAAAGCCCAAACTCCATGACTCTGAGTGATGTAGGGCCCCCGAGACTTCAACAGGAAATTATCCTACAGCATGCAAGTGCTCAGGGGAGCTGGTGGCACAGCAGT